CGTGGGCCGCGGCACCTTCTGGAACGCCATGTGCGGGTTGGGGTTCTCCTGCAGGCCCAGAGAGAAGCGTCAGGCACCTCGCGCTGGGCGGTGTCACATCTGTCCTGCTTCATTTAATGCTGCCCTGTGATCTCACACCGGAGAGTCAGAAGCCAAATATCTGATGCACAGGACTAATAAAATGTTTCATATTCGTATCACCCTTGGCTCATTATCTGTAATACTCCCAACCTGGATCAAGGCTGCTATAAAACTATTTTTGTCAACATGCAAAATTCAAAAAGAAAGGGGGTACAAGAAAATCACCGCTCAATTTAGGCTGATTTCATGCAGCTCAGTGAATATTTAGGACTTAGAATAGAAATTAGTTTGACAATCAACCTCTTCATTAGAGAGAGGGCTGAAGACATCACTCACAGGATTACACCTCACATCTTCAGGAGTGTAACCATCGATCAGCCAAGGCAGGATAGTTCCACCTCTTCACTCATGTACACCAGGGGCTATCCCATCAGAATTTCCTGCTGTCTGATTTGACTCTATGCTGGTACCTGTCACTGGCCACGTACCACTGCCAAAGAGTGGCACTCGCTCCATGATGAGGCTTCTGTCGTAAAGGCACAACTAACTTGCAAGAAAACTTGTGAACAGGAGTGTAATACTTTGTTTTACAGGAGCAAAAGGCAACAAGGAGATCAAATGCATCACCCTGAGACCGAGCAGCCAAAACAGAGCAGCACATGTATTTGCCACTTGGCCATACACATTCCCTGCAAAGGGAGGTTGAATGAACAACCCAAAACTCCAGCTAGGAGGATGAGTGCAGCAGATGACTGAGAAACAAGGCCCAGAAAGGGAACAGAGTCTCAGCAGGGGGTGACAGAGGACACAGAGCAGGAAATACCAGGGAAGGAGAATAACCAGCCCACAGTCCATTTCACTGAGAGAGATTCAGAGGATATAAACAGACAGAGCTACTTTAATCTTGGCCATCACAAATATCATGTCAGACATACATTCTCTTAGCCATGTGCGTCCAATGTCTTGAACTACTGAAGTAGTACATGCCAAAAACTTGGCTAGACTTTCTACTCATACCAGCTACAGTGATCCAAAGTTCTCCCTCCTTAACAACCTTATCTCTCACATGTATCTCAACTGTTACAGCTACAATACTACTACTATTGAAACTGTGAAACGAGATGTCAAAATATGCCAGTGTAGGATCAGGCAGCTGTAGGCACAACTCACAGAAGCAATATCACTCACCACCTCTCCAGTCAAAGAAAAGTCTGGAAATCTGCCTGCTCAATGCCCTGAGTCCCTGACTCAGTGACAGGAGGGCACACCATCCCCAAGCCAAGAACAATGGCACAAATGAATCTCATTCCCAGAAAAGACACACAGAACCCAAAGGAACCCCCAAAGCACCCTGGAACTTGGCAGCATTTGGTAATGCTTGTGGAGTTTTTACAGAAGTGTAGTTGTAAACCACAGCTTTGAGGAAGTGAGACATGGAAAAGAAAGGATGATAAAGTGCTAACTGACTGTGCAATAGATAATGCACTGTGGACAACCACAGGAAGTGTGAGTGGGAGGGAATTAGTCCCTGCCAAAAGAACCCCAAAACCTCAAAACAAAACAAAAACAAAACCCACAAAAAAAAAAAACCAACAAAACCAGACCCGACTAGCAGAGATTTTACAAAAGCACTATGCAACACAAACACATGAGAGGAAGGCAAGAATGAAACTGGAAATAGTACGGCCCGACTAGCAGAGATTTTACAAAGGCACTATGCAACACAAACACATGAGAGGAAGGCAAGAATGAAACTGGAAATAGTACTAGGGAAACCTCAAGAGCACAAGGAACAGGCTGTAAAGACCTAAATAATGCTTGCTGAGCACACAGACCATGGGTCACCCAGCTGGAAAGAGCAGCTGAAGTACACCTTGTGCCAAATGGGATGGATGGTTTTCACATGGAAAACTGCTGAGAGGCAAGAGAAGATATGCATTTGGCATGGACAGGCTGCAGCAGAGCAGTAACAGTTTACACACATTATGTGAATACACACCAAGAAAACAGAGTTACAAGTAACTGTAACTACATGTAAATCAATATCAGCATCAACAAATCAATACTACTGTACTGAACTTCCTCTGCATGTACAAAATCAGAGACATTTCAAGTCCCAAGGGCTTCTGGCAAGATGCAGCTGGAGACTACCACAAACAGCCATTTCCACTGTCAGACACTGGAGCCACGTCAGAAACAAGACTTTTCAGTGCTACCACCTCAACCCTACAAGGGCAGCAGGTGTAGTAAACTTACATTTTTGAAGAGCTGTTCTGCAAGTTCTCTGACATGCTTTATCATTTTTGGTGGGTTACCCTCCTCAGCTTTAATTCTTTCAACTTCAAAGGCTACCAACTGGTTTTTTAGAAAAGAGAGAATAAAAATGTTGATCAATTAATTTCAAAAAATTCACTTGGTATTTAAGTTATTAAATGTTAATATTAAATTGAAACCAAGCAAAGAAAGCTGAACACAGAAAAATGTGCAATGTCACATTGCTCTGGAACATGAGACACTTTGAATTTCACAGAGAGATTCTGTTACCAGACTTTTTAGTGCTATCTCACACATACCTAAAACATCCCTTCCTCATTTCTATACCTCAGTCCACACTTCCTACACATACTACCATTCCTGCACAGAACTAATGTCAAACTCTATTTGTACTCTATATTCAATTAAAAGTTAACACAGCTGAATATGGCATTACTTGTTATGAGAAAAACCATTTGTCTCAACTGATATCGTTGGATATGTATTTAATATTTCTCAATGAGTTTCTTAGTGTTTCATATAATATAATTAAATGACTCAAAATAATTCTGATGCATTGTGAAGCTACAAACCTGACAACAGGAACAGCATTACCAAGACTTAGACAACTATTCACCCTCACACATGTGAGCAAGGCCTCATTTTATGGCAGTAAGCCAGAAATGTCTGCCGAGTAGAAGATGAGAGCCGAGAAGATTTGCAGTTTTTGACATGCCAGGCACAGTGCAGAGCCCTCACCTCGTCGAAGAGGTCGCAGGCCCTGAAGGGAGGGCCGCGCTCCGACACGAAGCCGGCGAACGCCATCCCGTTGAGCACCTTGCTCAGGAAGTCGTTCTCCACCAAGCCCCGCTGGCCCAGGAAGGCAGCCTGCCACAGAGGGGGACAAACAGCTGCTGTCAGGGCCCAGCTTCCACCACTGCTTAGGCACCAGCAGGCAAACATCCTCACCAGCTTCCACCAACATGTGGCATTTTCTAATCAAATCTCCTTTAGGCATCTCTTTCCATACCCAGCCTCAAAGTGAGCTAAGCACAAGTTTGATGCGCGCAACGTTTAAATCTCACAGGTGATCAAATGGAAAACCAGTACCTTCGAGCACTATGTTCCTGTTACACAGATATGCTCCCAAACTCCCACAATGACTCCACAGCTGTTCACCTGTCTGGAATTTAAATGCTGACTTTGTTTTACACTTCATTACTGTCCCTGCAATTAGTCCCGCTACAACACACCGACATGGTGCTGTGCAAAACATGCTTAGCACATATAGCTCCTCTGACTTCACCCCTTGTCCAAAGGGCAAACTGTGGGAACAGCATGGCATAAACAAATGCTAACTGCACAGACACAACATCTTCTTTTACCTTATGGAAATGAATTACTGGCTCAGCATGAATCCTGATCAGCTGAAGACAGGACCGGTATCCTTGGAAAAGCTGTGCAAACAGCCTGAGGAAGATTGCTCGCACTTCTTTGTCCTGGAAGCAGTCATTGAACATGCTGTCAACATCTGCACACTCTAAACTTTTCCACACTTTGCATAAAACCACGTGAGAAATGCCTAACAATGCACTGGTGTGGCAGCACACGAAGTGGAGACACTGGTACAGGTATGAGGTCACCTCACAGAATCCTAGGGGTCACCTCACTCCCTGCCCCATCCTCAGCACATAGCCACCCTCCACTCCTGCTGAGCCCTGCCAGCACCCAGCTGCAGGAGGAACTGCCAGGAGACAGCACTGCTGCTAAGGAAAGGGAAGGGAGTATCCTAGCCCCGGATTTACTCCCTAAGGCAGATGTGGCTCTGCAGCACTACACGAGCAGTGTCCCCAGAGTGGGCAGGGAAGCACAGGAGCCCAGGGCAGCAGTGCTGCTGCTGGGGGAACTGGGATTGGAGCACCCCAGGCACCACCACAGCCACCAGCTGGTCCCTGAGGACACTGCTCTGAGCCTGCCCAGCTCCTCAGCCAGGACTCTTCCAACCCACATCTTCCCTGGCCATCGAAATACACCACGGATCTGATGGTCATTTTAAACAAACTCTGAATGTCAGGCACAGCAAAGAATATTACATTCACTATTAGGCAATCAGCTGCTTAACAAGCAAATACAGCCTAAATAAGTTCACGCGTGAGCTTTTCCAAGAGCTGAGGTATACCTGAGATTCTATAAAGCTGTCCTGTTAGAATATTCTACTAGATGTCTGTTCATCCTCACTGGAAGATGATCAATGCTGTTCTGTTTTTAGCTTCATTCTGTACAGGCTCAGCTCTAAAATCTCAACCCTTTTCCAGTTAAGACAAGTCAGACATAACACAGAAATCTTACCAGCATTTTGGAGTGTGACAATGCTGTTCGTGGGGGAGGGAATGCATAATCTGCTGTTTCCAAATCAGGATGCAAAACCTAGAGAAATTTGTAAAGAAATTTTTTTCTGTTTTGCTGAAAAAAAGATAAATTACTTTTTTCCTTATTTCACAAAGTAATATTCACGGATATTAAATACCTCAAGTAATGGACTGAGTTAAATTATGAAAACTGTATGGAATTAAAGGTAGGATTAGTTTCTCAGCTTCAGGTTTCTGTGAGGGAGGGAGTTAGCAAAACCTCCTGCCATGGCCCGTGAAGCTGCTCGGTGCAGTTAGGAGTTCTGGAATCAGATGAACAGACAGATAATTCTTCTCTTTCAGATAAGAAGATCTGTCCCCCAAATAAGGTGATTTCTAACTTCATACAATGATAGCAAAAAGAATAACCGAAGATTTTTGGCAATTCCCTAGCGTAGGGTCAGTCACTGCTGAACAGTGGGACAGGGGCATCACACAAATCAACTTCAGGACTAAGTGGTTACTCATTTGTTACATTTCAAGGCAATGCACAGTTAAAATGAACTTAGAAAAACAGAAAAGCAGCAAAACTGAACAGTAATAATGCTGCTCAATCTTATTAAATCATCATTATTAAAAAGGAAAAGTCACTACCTCTTGAACAGTGCAAAAACACTTCAGTGTTAAATTACTGATGATATGAACTCTAATTTCTCAGAATAAACTCTTGTCAAAACAGGACTCCTGGCATGAATCACAGTACTGTATCTCATTTGCAGTGTGTTTGAAAGCTCAACACTGGAACCTTCAGTCTTTATGACGTGAGGGATGGTGGGAAATGGAGCTCGGATGGACACATACTAGAGAAAGTGCCATTTGAGTCTGATGCAGCAGTGGCTCTGGCAGCTGAGACAGGTGAATGCACTCGGGAATTTTAATCGTTCCTCCATCCAGGTCTGCTATGATTACGTCTAACTGCAAGGGACAAACACATTATGGGCAGTGCATACTGCAGCATGGTGCAAAACACAACAGGGCAAGTTTCACCATCAGCACATCAGTTACAAACAAATTAAACAGTACTAACTCACGATGAAGGAAATACCCCAAACGCTTCCTAATACTGAATCTAGCCATGAAAAATGAGTGCAAACCAGAGAGAGGGGAATCAGGCCAAACGTTCAAAAGTTATTTCTGTTTCTGGATGCTCCAGGTCTGTGTTCAGAGATCTGAGGTATCTAACAAGCTGTTTGCAAAGGAACACAGTGAGGGCACCTCTAAGTCAAATTCCATGTTCCTAAGCACCTCCTGGATCCCTGGTCCAGTTTCTCCAGGGAAAAAATAAAAAAAAATTGAGAATACATTTGAAATTCCTAAGTGAATCGGTCAAACTCATGACCAACAGAGGACACAGCTGGAAATGTGCCTGTTCCTTCCCATCTTGTGCTAGGATCAAATCATTTCCCTCCTCTACTTTATGGACTCCATGTATTGACTAAAATCGACGCTTTTTCCCCTTTCCCCCTCCTGACTGTCTCCCCCTCTCTCCCCAGTGCCCTCTCGGAGACACGGCCGGGCACAGAGCCTGCCCCACACCACAGTGACCATGGGGTGCTGCCACACATACTCACAAGCTCATGAATGTCATTGCGAAAGACAGAATGGACACCAATGATGAAAGGTGTGGGGGAGCTGAGCACTTCCAACAGCTGTGCAGGAAGGATTGGAATATAGGGATAACTGTGAAAAGAATAAACAAAATGAAATAAAACCTTCTGACTATCCTTTCGCATAGGGCAACTTTTTTCTTTGAAAAATCCCTTCCTGTGACGTATTAAACTCGCTAGCAATACCTGTATTTAGAAATACAAAGGCATTAATTATATGCTTCCCTACAAAGCAGCATGCTGCTAACAGGACATGCCATGGAGAACACCCTCACTGGGAAACCTGAGCAGCTCTTGGCCAGGCACCCACAGCTCAGCCTTCCCTAACGTGCCATTAACAGGACACCTTCAAATGAGACATTCTGCTCTGATATTGAGGTGCAACTACACACTATGCACAGAGCACTATTTTGGTATTATTTACTTGATTTGATGATCTTAAAGTCTTCTCATCAAAGCAACAGGAAAAGTTATCAAAATTGGTCAATACATTTCAACACCTAATTTATAGCTATTAAAAGTTCACATTCATGAATGTTTTAGCATTAAGAAACATTCCAAAACTCACTTTCCATTTTTTCCCTTCTCATTCTGTATTAAAATGATGCCCATCTCTGAAATGCTTTCAAAAAAACATGTTTTGGAACAGGTGTCAGAATTGGATGTCTTCTTCCTAGAGAGCCAAATAGCTTGACACCGGGCTCTCCATTTCAGAATGCTGGATCTGGACGTGGCTCTTTAGAGAGGATCACTTTGTTGACTTGAATTCAGTCCCTGCAGGACATTTGTCAGTGACTTGTAACTGTGACACAAGCTCATGTGGCTGTTCTGTCTGAGCCACAGAATCTCTCAGGTTGTAAAGGGCCTCAGGACATCATTTCCTCCACCTACTGCTCTAAGCAGGGTCAAGGCTGAGCCCAGATTAGGTTGTCCTGGGCTCTGTCCAGCTGGTCCTGAGAGCCTACAGGGACAGAAGGCCCATATGCTGATTTAGTCCCACTCCTCAGCCACTCACATGATAAACCCTTTCTCCCTCCCTCTCCCATCCCAGTTGATTACCCCGTTCTCTTCTGCCACACAGCTCCTCTCACTTTCTGCCAGGCTGGCCCTACACCTCCTCCACACTGACCCACGGGTCACCACAGTCAGGTGTTACCACCCAAATGATATTCTGAGTTGTGTTTCTATTGCGTTTTTAGGCAGATGTTTCTTCTGATGATAAACCCTTTCTCCCTCCCTCTCCCATCCCAGTTGATTACCCCGTTCTCTTCTGCCACACAGCTCCTCTCACTTTCTGCCAGGCTGGCCCTACACCTCCTCCACACTGACCCACGGGTCACCACAGTCAGGTGTTACCACCCAAATGATATTCTGAGTTGTGTTTCTATTGCGTTTTTAGGCAGATGTTTCTTCTGTTCTGCAGTTGTTGTGAGTTGTGTTTCTACTGCGTTTTTAGGCAGATGTTTCTTCTGTCACTGTCTGCAGTGCCACGATGCCATCAGACTGCAGCAATGATGTGGGCAGAGTAGGACTCACACACAGGGCCATGGAAACCTTTGCTTATTGGAACAAACACAGCACAACTCCTTTGCTCTGTGACAATGTGACACAAGTTATAAAATGAGCTCACGAGTTCAAAGAATCAACACTCGACTCACCTGTATTTGAGGGGAAACATCAGAGACTCCAGAGCCCTACAGGCATCACTGAGCCTCTGGAAACTTGCTGAGTGGAAGAGAACCTTATTTTCTGTAAGCACGGCACAGAATAAGCTGAGCACATTCTGAATTCCTTAAAAGAAAAAGAAATAAAGAACTGTAACATACGAAAAGAATCACTATTATATTAACTTGTACCCTTTTCTGGAGGAATTTTCAATAAACGTAAGACAAATGAATAAACTGCCAAGTTCCAAGCTCTTCCACCTTTTATTGAACCAGTGCAGCTTCCTCCTCTATGTCAGGTTCTAAAATACTGCCTGAATGCATTTCTGTGTTTCAGATCTATTGCATTAACCCCTCCCTTTCAACACCACTTCCAAGGATTTCCCCTTCTCAGCACAAGTCCCAGCAATGCTCCACAAAGACTTCAAACAGTATTTTGTGTGTCCTGCACAGCCTTCTCTGCATCCAGCACCGAGTTCTGGGCACTGACCCAGGCTCAGCCTCTAAACCTTCCTCCCCAGGCAGGGAACAGGAACTCAAATCACACTGCCAAGCTCAAAAGATGTCCCAGACGTCCTGGTGAACACACTGATGGTTCACCTGCAGAGTGCTCTGGGAGCCCAGGGCAGCCCCTGGCACTGGTGGGACAGAGCCAGATCTGCCTCTGCACAGGAGCCCCACCAGCCCGAGGGCAGATGCTGGGGGAGGTCTGGGGCTTTTTTCAGACAGTAGAGTTTACCCAGGAGACTAAGCCATGTGCTTTCAGGGAAACCCAAAAATACACTTCCTCTCAAAGTCCCCTCCTGAGAAGACATGTCTGAGATAGGCTGAAATTTATGAAATTTCCTGAAATCCGCTGGAATGTGTGACGTTTCCCTGAGGACACAGCTTGGGTTATCAGCAAGACAGCCTGCATTACCTTCACAGAGCTACTGCTTACCCTGCACTTCTCTCCCCAGCAAAGTGTGACCAGGAGAGTCACCATATTCCGAGGACAATTAACACTTTGTTCTGCTTAAGTCATTTTTACACCACACTGAGCTGCAGGCAGTGCCCTGGGTGTCCTGTTCTGTGTGAGCACACCACACTGAGCTGCAGGCAGTGCCCTGTTTTCAGTGGGCACACCACAGCTCGTGGAATACGTATTGCAAACGTTCTCAGCACACTCTGCAGATGTCCAGTGCATTTCAAGTGGCCATGGAAGATGCACTTGAAGTGCTCACTGTGATGTGAATGTACCTGATGCAGCCCCAGCTTTGCTCTGTTTGCAGAACTTAGGGAAGAGACCAAAACTGAGAGTCTCTAAACATATCTCCCAGAAATCAGCAAACCTCTGGAGGAGGCTAACCACCTCCACTGCCTGGAGAGCTTGCACAGCTCAGAGAGCTTCTCTGGTCCCAGGGTTTGCCTTCCTTGTTATTTTTTAGGGTTCTGTATACAACACAGACCAATACAGACCAAATAAAGTGTACAATATAGACATCTAATCTGGAATTTTCTTATTTTCAAGACGACAGCCACTACCTCAGCACAAAATTATTGCCCCACATGCACTTTGAAACACGTGTTTGTGTTTCCAGGAATATCTGCGGTGTGAGGACTGTTAAGGAAACTTTTATCTGATAGGATCAAAGTATAAATAGCACAACTTTTAATTACTTTCCTTTTCTAAACCATTTAAACCATTGATTAAATTATTCGACCAAGCCACCAAGGTGTTGTTTCAAGCCCTGCAGTTGTTTACTGCAAACAAACCACTGCAAGTAACAGCCTGAGCCCAGTTTCCTCAGGCTACAAGGCACAACCGAGTCTGTAACCTTGAACCCCACACTGGTCTCAGCCTCCACACTATATCCGATGCTCATTTGTCAGGACATAAACAGACAACACGAAAAACAACAAACACTTGATTTGAACAGATTGCTCCTCTGCAGTCTACAGACAGACATCCTGTAAAACATTGTACATAGGCTGGAGAAGTTTGAATGGAGGCTTCCTGACCTCCACTGCTTTCAAGTATTTAAAGAATCTGTAATTTGTACTAAATTATCTGACATCCTACATCAACCAATGTATCATTCTGCCTGTTTCCTGTTGTTCTAGAATTTAAGTATTTATTTAAGCATGATTTCAAAAAAACCCCCCAACAAAGTGTACTTGACAAATTATTAACTGTCTTCTGTGTTGCATAAAATCAAAATATTACCACTGACTTCTCTGGGCTCCTAAAGAGTTCCAGCCATGGATTTGGAAACTCAACTAGCTGAACACCTTATTATGCCAATATGCCATTCTTGAACTGCTGGACACAAGAAAAAGATTAATAAACAAAGTAATCCATAACTTAGCCAGTCTAATCCAGGAAATGGGTCACCAAAGCCTGAAAAGCCTTTATGAAAGGCACTGGAGACTGCATAGTACCAGTTCTGTGCCAGGCTGTGTTGAGCTCTAAAAACGTAGAGAAAGACAAAACTGTTTTCAAGTCTATTTTTAGATGTACCTGCACAGTAGTGCTAATGAATCAAATACAAGCTTAATCAAAAAACAAAGAGGCAACAACTGTACTGAATACTCATGCAGGTAATTACTGCCAGTTGCATTCCTTTGTCCATCCCAGAATGACACAGTATTTTCACTCAACTACACAGTCTGACATCCTGGAGCCTGCAGTGCCCCAGCTGAGGTGAGTTACCCCAGCAGGGCTGCACAGTGCACAGCACACCACAGCCAGGCTGGCCCACGAGGAGGGAGCAGCAGGGACTCCTGGCAGGGACAATGCACCCTGCGCTGTGGCTCCGTGCCAGGGAGCAATCCAGCTGTGGCAGCAGAGTTCTGGCAGGGAGAACTCA